CCTTCTCCCCTTCTCCCCTTCTCCCCTTCTCGCCTTCTCCCCTTCTCCCCTTCTCCCCTTCTACCCTTCTCCCCTTCTCCCCTTCTCCCCTTCTCCCCTTCTCCCCTTCTCCCCTTCTCCCCTTCTCCCCTTCTCCCCTTCTCCCCTTCTCCCCTTCTCCCCTTCTCCCCTTCTCCCCTTCTCCCCTTCTCCCCTTCTCCCCTTCTCCCCTTCTCCCCTTCTCCCCTTTCCCCCGTCTCCCCTTCTCCCCTTCTCCCCTTTTCCTCTGCGACCGTACCCTAATACCCCAACGCGCACAACACAGAATCCTCCTTACGCTCCATCCTCCTTACCCTCCACTACCCCCCTCACCCCATTCAACACTCACAGGAACGTCCTCCCCATCGCGGCGTTATTCTCCGGTACTTTGTGGCTGGGCAATGCCGCGTACCTCTACCTCTCAGTCGCTTTCATTCAGATGCTCAAGGTGTGGAAAGGCACCAGCAAAACGCCCTCCTCCCCTTCCTCATGACCGTAGTCATCATTAATAAGTCCCCCCCTGCTGCCACGGTCACTGCTACTGCCATTGCTACTGCCATTGCTACTGCCATTGCTACTGGCACTGCTACTCACACTGCTAGTGCTACTGCCATGGCTACTGCTACTGCCAAAAAACGTGCATGAATCCCCTTTTCCTTCCCCGGGAGGTACGTACATACATACATTCGCACATATACACACACGCGCGTATTTGGTCCTCCCGCCGTTTATTCATTCAGACCCTTTCCCCCCCCCACCCCCAGGCTCAAATGCCGGTCACTGTGTTTTTGGTGGGTGTACTGCTCGGTACGGAAAAGTATTCCCACATGTACGCGCTCAACATGGTTGTGGTGGGAATCGGAATCGCAACTGCGTCGTACGGTACGGCAGAGATGTTTCGCTATTACCCTGTCTTTGTGCGCCGCCGCTGCCGCCGCCCCAACATTCCAACCTCCTGGCATCCCCTCCCTGCCCTTTTTTTCCGGCGGCAACGCATACAGACATACAGACATATAGACAGACACACACACACACACACACACACGACCACACGACCAATGCACATTCTCGCAAATTCCTGCCCGTGGCTTAGTTCATACACATGCTCTCATACAGATACACTCATACACAGACACGCTTCCATATCGTCGGGTGTTTGGAGGGTGGGTTGGGAGCCGGTTATCATTTTGTGCCTATTGCCCCCTTCCTCCCGTTCTGTAATCCACGTCATACATACATACATACCCTCGATCCGACCCCCAGGCGAAATCAATTTCAACTTCGTTGGCGTTATTTTTCAAATCGGTTCCATTGTAACGGAGTCCTTCCGTCTGTGCCTCATTCAGCTTCTCCTTCAGGTAACGAGGAGGGGGAGGAGGGGGGAGGGGGATGAGGGGAGGGGGAGAAGGGGGAGGGGGATGAAGGGAGGGGGGAGGAGGGGGAAGGGGGATGAGGGGGAGGGGGGAGGAGGGGGGAGAAGGAAAAAAATGGGTCAAGGGGAAGGGGGGGTTCTCTCCCGTAATTCCGCCGCCGTAGTACTCCACAACCACCAATTTCTCTCTTTCCTCCTCCTCTTCNCACCACAACACCTTTCTCCAGTTCTGGTGCGTTAGGCGTCTGAAGCAGGTGTCTTTAGGTGTCTGACACAGGGCTTTTCCTTTGTACTCCTCTTGCTGCTCCCACCTTTTCCCCATCCCCACCTTTTCCCCATCCTCACCTTTCCCCATCCCCACCTTTCCCCCCTCACCCCTCACCCCTCATAACGCTCCTTCAGGCCTCCGGTATCAAGCTCAACCCCGTCACCACCCTCTACTACGTTGCCCCCGCCTGCTTCGTCTTCCTCTGCATTCCCTTCGCCTTCCTGGAGCTCCCCAAAATGTTGGCGCCATACGACTCTGCGACTCCCGGGCTAGTCAACTTCCCGGCGTTGTGGCTGTTCATCAGCGCCGTCAGCGCCTTTGGTGAGTTAGGACCTTTTTTGGGGGGGGAGGGGTTATTGGCTCATCTTATTTGTAAGGTTTAATTTTTGAATTGGGTTTTTTTATTGGTTTTATTTCTTTTTTCCTCTGGTTGCTGGCCATTGGCGGTTTCATGCGTGGTGCGGTGCATTTTGTTTTGAATGGGTTTTGCGGGTTTTAGGGTTTTAGGGTTTTAGGGTGTAGAGAGGTGCGTGATACCTGTGATATGTGTTTGCTGCACCTCTAACCCATCCCCAAGCCTCGGCCTGCCCGCCGCCCCGGCTCTCACCTCTCTCCCGCTCTCTTTTCCCCCATCCTTACCCCCCTACTTTCAACCACACGTTCCCGTCCCCCACCCCCCTAAAACCCCCGTCTCCTCTAAAGCACCGTACCCCTAAAACCCCGTACACCCCCCCACAGCTCTGAACATGTCGGTGTTTCTGTTGATCGGCCGAAGCTCCGCCCTCACCATGAACGTCGCCGGCGTGATTAAGGACTGGTTGCTAATTCTGTTATCGGTTATGTTGTACGAGTGAGTACGAGCATGGGGGGTGGGGAAGGAGGGGGATGGCTCGGAGATCCGGGGGCTTCGTCCGGGGGCTTCGCTGTGTTTCGTGTCTTTCCGTGCGTGTGGGAATAACCCCGTTCATCCCCACCCACCCCCCTCACCGCCGCCGTGATCCCAAAACCCAGAGCCCCCTCACCCCCTCTCACCCCTCAAAAAGCCTATATACACGTATACACACACATGCACACGCATATATAATTCTCCATCCCATCCCCTCCTTCCCTCCCCCCTTGCCCTCCCCTCCCCCCAT